ATGGATGGATGGATGGATGGATGGATGGATGGATGGATGGACGGACAGATGGATGGATGTTAAGATGGAAGAATGGATATATGGGTGGATGATGGATGGATGGATGGATGGATGGACAGACGGAAAGATGAGAGGTCAATAGGAAGGAAAACAGAGGAGGTAAAGGAAGAAGAGATAAATCTATCAATTTTTTTTTCATTTTATCCTGCCTCCTGCTGCCTGAAAAAGCAGTACTTTAATACCAGAACTTTTCATACTTTAAGGCATACAAAAATTACCTGGGGATCTTTTTAAAGATGGAGATTCTGGTGGTCTGGGGACCCATGAATCTGCTTTTCTAAGAAGCTCCTAGGCCACAGTCAATACAACAGGCATTTTTATCCCATTCTCTAAAATTCTCAGTGGGGTAATCCCAGAGCTGTGCTTGGCAACACATGTTTTATATTCAATTTAGGTGTAATAAAAAGACCAGGGCTTCTTGTGTCCTCAGACAAGAGAAAAGCAGCTACTTATATGATCTGCTATTCCTCTGGGAAGGAAAACCCTCCAGTTCTATGGCCTGACTCATTTCCACTTCCACCCATGGGGGAAGAAAAGTCTGAGTAAAAGAAATGGATGTTATAAAAGGAAGAGCCAAAGGAACTCCATGCACGCTTACCTCGATGAATGACAGACAGCTTACTGTGTAAGTGTTCTAACGCTTTTACAATCTGCAGGTAAAACACAAGATAGATTTTTCTCCATCACTGGAAAGAAACTGAATGTTAAGTATACTCAGGATTATTATCCCTCGCTTAACATCACCAGGTAAGGTATTTTCTCCAACAGCGGAGGCCCTATCCAGGAAAATACACAGGAAGCTACACTCCTTGACCTCCACCCACCAGAGAGGACCGGATCTCACAGTAGAAAGGGTGTCCCACTCATCTAGCTGGTGTTTCTTTTGGCCTCCAGCACTTTTTTTCTCTCCACCCTCATGAGTCTCAACAACCATTAAGAGGGCAATCTTTCTTTCCATTTCCTTTTCTTCTGCTTCTTTCTATGCCTTATTAGCCTTAAGAAAACATTTAAAAATCTACAAATGAAAATCAGAGGAAACTAAGATTAGAATGTAGACACCAGGAATGGGGTCATAGCAAAGGGGGGCACTGCTTACAGGTATTTTAACAGAGAGTTTACCAGACCAAGTCAGTGGTAGAATATTCTACACAGAACCCAGAAAGAAAAGCACTCATTTATTTGTCCACAGAGGCACTTCTGCATCCAACAGACATGTGCTGGAGGGCAGCTCTAGTCCTGCTAGTGTATGCTCACAGTAGGGAATGAGAGATACATCAGGTCTAGACTTCTCACATGCTCCTTGTAGTAGGGTCCATGATGTACTCACAGAAACTGCTATTTTCCCTAAGATGTCCTCTGGAATTGTTTGACCTTTATCAATCACTTGTTTGTAGAATTTATCTAGCGACGTATCCATGAGCTCCATGCAGATCCAAACATCACCCTGGAGATGAATTGGTTCAGAGATTGTTAGAGAGGGACAGAAAAGGAAAAGAAGGGGAAGCAGTTAATACCTGTCACAAAGAACTGTTCTCGTACTCAAGTTTTTGGAGGAAATGTACAATTTCCCTTCAAGGTCTCAAAGGAATTTACAGACAAGCAAGTTCGTTTCCCAAGAGCCAACTAGCAGATAGCCAAGAAGAACCTGCATGGGATCCCCTACTCCTTGATAAAGAAAGGGTCTAAACACTGAGGGTTACTCCAGCTATGGAATGAAGTAACCTTTACTAGAATAAAAGGCACGGTAGAGGGAATACGGTTAATGATATAATAGAATTGTATGGTGAAGGCAGTTGCTACACTTGCGGTGACCACCCATAATGCAAAGAGAAGTTGAATCCCTACGTTGTACAACCTGCAACTAATGGGACATTGTGTGTCAACTCAAATTTTTTAAAAACATTATAAATAAATACATCAGTACCAATAGTCAGAAGCAACAGATTCCCAGAAAGCTGGGACTTGATGGTTCCTGTCTTCTAGGGATTAGGTCTACAGGCCTACTCCATGTTTGACCTCCCACCTGGGACACTGGCAATAGTTCATCCAATAGCTGTTTGAAGCATCATAATCCATATCATGGGAAAGGGAAAGCAGGGGTAAAGCAAAGAGATCCTTGTAAGCCTCTGGGGGTACATAAACAGGTAAACAAAGCTTATCATTTGGCCACCAGACCATAATATTTCAGATTTTAAGTAATCTACCTAAATTAGCCTACAGACAATTGATAGAGCGAACCACAACAAAATAAACCAAAACAAAATGGAGAAAGGGAGCCTCAGTGTCTTCAAAAGGGCTCCCCACACTTGGAAAGGTTGTCATTTCAAGCCAACTTTGCATCAAGGCATGTCATGACCGCCCGAGCAGGAATCTCTCTAGAGAAGACACGTCCAATGAGAAAGAGTGCCAGGAGGGTGCATTGCCTTTGAGGGATTAGAGAAACTCCTTTTTAAGTGTCTGTTCTCCTCAGATGTTGAACTGAGGATCACCTACCTCCCGGAAGAGTGCGCCATAAAAGGTGACTGTAAAAGGACAGTCCACTGTCCTCATGGAAATATCCAGATCCATCAGTAGCCTCTTCTGCTCCTGGCTGTTTACTGTGGCCCGGATCCGCTGAATGGGAATGCAAGGAAAGACGGATGGTTACTGCCCTGAGGATGAGTCAGCAAATAAGGCAGGGATCTTGAGGAGTCCCGTCCCAAAAATACCACAAAACTCATAGCACAAGTTCTAGCAATGACCTTCCAAGTATTTACCCTAGTGATTAGCTATTTGTACCAAATGAGAAATAAGGAAGACTTTCAGTAGATTTCCTGAAAAATCCCCAGCAAGAAGCCAACTGATACTATATTTCAGAAGATGGGCAAATGTTGGCAAGCATATTTCCTTCCAAGTCACAAAAACAACCTGCTCTATTGTGTTGTGGCCGTTTGGTAGAGACCAGAGTATTCGTAACTTTGTGGCTGACTCGGGATCCCACAAAAAAAACTAAAAGCCCCTCTTTGGGAAGAAATAAGAATATTTGGACTAAGTAGCAACTAAAGAAGAATGGACAGAGCTCTCCGAAATGGATGGAATCAAGCAGAAATGGAGAGACTGTTTGTTCCTATCCCAGGGATTCCGAGAGGAAAGACACCTGTCACGCCAACAAATGTAGTCTTAAAGAAAGACGATTTTGTCATTAAATAACAGTAAAAATATAATATAATTAAATAAATATATAATAACAAATAAACAAAATATCATACTAAAAATACTACATACAGGCTTTTATATTTTTGGCCTAATTAGCAAAAAGTCTGCAGAAGAACACATTGCAAAATCTACAAGGCAAGGGAAATATATCTCCATTCTCCAAAAACAAAGGGGTCCAAGTCATCTGACATCCGCGTCCCTAACAATGGGCCAAATCCATGAACACATGTACAGAAGGTAGGTCCCCAAAGTCCCTTGAGCACGTACTCAAGAAATATGCAATGATTCCCAATTTCTTTTTCCAGCTCAAAAACAATGCCATCACTCAAGATGCCTTTACCCTCCCTTTTCCCACAAATGGACAAAATTTTCTCCCTCAATTCTCATTTCCTGATTTTTGGGGACCATTCTTTAAAAGCAACAGAATATTAGAATGAAAGAAACATTTGAGACATAATAACCAAATGCAGTATGTGAACTTTTATTTGGATTTTGACTTCAACAACCAACCAGCAAAAAAAAAAAAAAAAAAAAAAAAGTGATAATCAAGGTGATTTATTTTGGAGCCAGTATTCCTTGACATTAAAGAAGTACTGATAATTCTTTTAAGTGTGATGACATGGTGGTTCCATAAAAAGTTAAAAGGAGGGGGTTGGATTTATCAGTTAAAAAAACAAAACAAAACAAAACAAAACAAAACAAAAAAACGACCAGTAAATGCAACTCATACCAAGGAAGGATTTTCCAGACATTTGGAGGGAAATATTATTCCCTACAGATAACCTTCTTTGTTTGACTCCATTGCTGATTGTTTTGCTTCTACGAAAAGAACTGATTTGCGGTTGAGATGGATGAATGTATATACCACAGACAGAAAGTGTTTGGGGACTGTCAACTCTACCTTCACCGCCATGATCTGCCCGCTGGGCACATGTCGCATCTTCTCCACCACCCCGTACGCACCCCGCCCCAGCTCCATTATGGGCTCCAGGTCATCTGCCTTCACCTCAAAGTTCTGCAAGAGAGAAAATAATAATACAAGAGTAAAGAAAAAATTTAAGGACATAGACTACCTTGTCCCCTCTCTGGCTTCCCCCAACATTCTAAGGGTTATTTCTGGTCCAGAAGCTTCTGATCTAGAAGCTTTATCCAAGGAGCCCCTGCCAGCAGGAAGCACCAGGAGATGTTCAGACTGGCGGAGTATGCCACCTGCTCATCACAGGCAGTGCAGACATCCAGCTCCAACTCGGCTCTAAACTCACTTTGCGTGATCTACACTGTGGCTCCTTAGCCCCTTCCTCACACATTTAATCCATTTGCTGACTGATGGCAATTAGATCTACCCTTGGACTTTAAGGAATGCACCCCAAAGCGAGTCAACCACTCCTCTCAAATACCTTCCATCAGGGCAACACTAGCCTGATTTCAATAAGGCATCCAAAACAGCCAGAGTGCCACCCACCACTTCTGCTAAACTCAAACTTTGTGACCCATCCCCTGACGGCATGCTACGGAAAATAAATTTTCCAATGGCCAGTCAGAAAGCATACCTAGGAACTGGTCAAGATATTAACTGGCAACGTGATATTTTTTTCTTACCTGATTTCCAATAGAAATGCAAGCTTTAGAGTCCAAGTCTCGAGGTGGCCTAAGAAAGAAAAGGGGGGAAAAGAAAAAACATGACGTATTTAGTCAACTATGCCTTCCCAAATCATATATGACTAAAGAGAGTTTTCCTTAGGGTTAAGTTGGAAGTTCATCAGTAAAAGTGTTAATAATGCAGGATTTGGAATAAAATATATTTGGGTTTAAATGACTTAATCTCCGGGGTGCCTGGGTGGCTCAGTTTGTTGAGCATCTGGCTCTTGATTTTGGCTCTGGTCATGATCTCGAGGTTGTAGGATCCAGCCCCAAGGTGGGCTCTGTGTTCAGCGGGGAACCTGCTTAAGATTCTCTCCTTTTCCCTCTGTCTGTTCCTACCCAACTCCACCCTGTGCTTGCTCTCATGCTGTGTCTCTAAAATAAATAAATCTTCAAAAAAAAAAAAAACAAAATGAATAAATGACTTAATCTCTTTGAGCTTCTTTTTCTTCTTTAACATGAGGATATTAGTATATCCTGAGATAGTCCAAGTAAAATGGGCTTAGCACAATGGCTGGCATGCAGGAAATAACCAATAAATATGAGCTAGGTGTAAAGAATTATGTAAATAATTATACTATTCTAGTAAGCCCCAAACTTTTTTCTTTCATTGGCACCAATGTACCCAATTATTCCACCACATTTTCCCATAATTATTTAAAAAAACCTAATAATTAGCATATGGTTATGTTAACTCACAAAATTCATAAACCATAATAATTCCAAATCTCTCTAGTCCCCATGTTCATAGACGGAAAAAGGCCCAGAGTGGTGATGGGACTTCCCAAGATCACAATTAACCCCGATCTCCTGATTTTCAGGTCAGAATACTTCCTGCTATCAGACTAAGACAGTTGTGACATTTCTTCCATACACAGGACACACACTATCCGGGGGCCATCTCAGCAGCTGGAGGTTGGCTGATCTTGTGTCTCCATAGAGAAACCATAGAGTCCCCTCATCTGCATTTATTTCTACTACTTCAATACCACCTGGGTGGATACCAACCCACCCAAGAGAAAGATGTTTGGTCTGGCCATGCAACCAACCAAGAGCTTCAAGAAGCATTTTCTCAAAATAAAGGCACCAAAAGTATCACCACAAAAAAAAAAAAAAAAAAAAAAGAATCCCAGGAATGCCAGAATCAAAGGTGACCAAAGAGACCCAGGTCTCCCTAAGAGGACATTCCATGCAGAACTGTCTCTAGAAACATCCAAAGGAAAATAGAACGAAGGCAAGAAGATAGGAAGGGAGAAAAGAATCCCAGCCCTTGGCAATTTCCCCAGGCCTACTGTGTTATAATTCTGCCCCTTCTGCTAAAACTAACTAAATAAAGCAATAAGGAAAAAATGGGCATATAAACACAAACATATATTTAAGGTTTTAATGGCAAGCCTTCCCATACCTCAAGATCCCTTTAAAAAGCACAGAATACCTAAAATAAAGTTTTTCTAGACTAACTTAAAACCAGGAACTGGCAGGGATAGATACAGAAGAAAATACACACGCACACCCCAGTACACTCCAGTGATGTTTTTATATGTCTTGTGTGTATGAGTGAGAAGGGGATTTTTCTTCAGAAATACTTTCCAGAAGATTACATTTCTAAAAATCTGATTTCTCATTCTTAAAATTTCCAGAACGATTTTTCCTTCATCATCGATGATTTGTACTAACTGCAATGGAACTTTGAATGAAAGACAACTATTACTTGAAATGTGTGACTCTTATAAATAAAAAAAAAATCTCTTGCAGTTGTTCCGTACTCTTCCTTTGAAAAAGGAGGAAGCAACAGGAAAGTCACTAGTTTTGGGGGGCTACCTCCATTTTCTTGCCATCCAAGGAGGGCATTGGGTAAGACTGTTTCCAGGTCTGGTACTCCAGTACTCAGACATGGCTTTGCAAATTACAGCCTGTGGCCCAGCTAAGAATGACTGTTTTCAAGTTTAAAAAGTTGTAGGAAAATAAACTATGAGGACCATCCGACAGGGGCCACTGGGCTCCAGGTAAACCTGAAATATTTACTAGCTGGCCTTTGTAAAAAAAGTTTGCTGAACTCCAACGTTGTACTAACCTTGCAGTATATGCCTCTACCTAATAGGAGGGGGGTCATGCCATTTTCCAGAAAGAGAAAAATGGAACCCAGAAAAGCCCAGAATTTGCTAAAGCCATCCAGCTCAACAGAGCTGAAAATAAAACTCATGCCACTTGAATCTCAGTCTTGACCTAAAGTGAAAGGAATAGAGGCTGAACTGAATGCAAAGCTTTACCTATATCTCATTTAATTCTTTAAACACACACACTCTCTCTCTCTCTCTGAGTATCATTACTCCCATGGTCCAGATGAGAAACCGTATGGCCCAGAGTTTAACTACCTTGCTCCCAAGTGGTAAGGCCATGATTCAGTCCAAGTCTGATTGAATCTAAGGAACCTACTCCCAACACCCAGGCCCCCTCAAATGAAAACGATCAACGCACCCAAGCCTGAGGCCCTTGGGCTCATCAGTTCTGCCAAAAGCATCAAATGATGGGGCCAAGGCTGACAGCTTATATTAGATTTGCAGACACTGTGTTCTGTCCAGGGCTGGGCATATTAGTTTGCCTGGAACACTGGGTCTCTGCAGGAGGTTAAATTGTGGGTATAAGTTCTCTGTTGCTTATTCAATATTTTAGTCCTCTGGGGAAAGAAACAGGCTTATTATGAAATCCCTTCCCTGGAAGGTCAAAGGTGCTCCAAAAGTCACCTAGTATTAGATTTTTATTTTTGTTTTTGTTTTTGTTTGTCTGTTTTTGAGAGAGAGAGAGAGAGAGAGGCCGCACAAGTGGGGAAAGGAGGCAGAGGGAGAGAGAAGCTGAAGCAGGCTCCTCACAGAGCAGACCCTGAGATCATGACCTAAGCCAGTGCCCCTAGTATTAGCTTTTTTTTTTCCATTTTATTTTATTTTATTTTATTTTATTTCTTTTCAGTGTTCCAGCATTCATTGTTTATGAACCACACCCAGTGCTCCATGCATATTATTTGCTTTTATATGAATGAGTTTTAGCTTATTATAATAATTATTTATTTGTAATTCTAAGTAATAAGTAATCAGTTTACTGGTTATTATGACAACCATTGTTCATCTATTTGATAATATTTATTAAGCACCTACTTGGGCCAGAGACTGTGCCAGACCCTTTGTATGAAGAATCTTCTTTAACTTACACAACTCTACTTTAACAGGAAGAGTTCACAAAGAAAAAGACTAAATAACTTAAAGTCATTCGAAGACCTGGCAAAATTAGAACCCAGAGCCTCACAATTATATCATCTCCACTGCTTAAGTGATGTTTTACTAGCCACAGCCAGTAAACTAGCCTCTTGTTTTACCAGCCACAGACGGTTTGATCACACCCTCGACCCGTCTGATGTGTGGTTCAGAGCATATCCCTGAAAGTCGGAGAGCCCTGACTTCGTATGCCAGCTCTTCCACTATATAATAGGCATCATGAATAATTATTAAGTGGATTCGTAATAATAACAGCAACAACACTTGGAGCAACCTTCCTGGAGAAGGTACAATGGGACAGGCACTGGGCCAGACACTTAATACAGATGATGACGCCTACTCTTCCCAGCAACCACATCATTATTTATTCCCATTTTTCAGAAGGGAAAACTACAACTTAGTAGGGTTAGGGAATTTGCCTAAGGAATTCAACTAGTGAAGTTTAGATCCCAAATGCGAACCTAGGCATTGTAGCTGGAGCCTGAACTCTTACCCACGAGGTGCTGTTTGACTGCTCTGAGCACCTGACCTTGTACAGGTTCATTCTCTCATTTATCAAGTAAGAGTAACAGTAACTGCCTCCCGAGCTTCTTGGGAGGGTTAACTAGAATAATATTCACGAGCATGGAATCAGTTCAGAATTAGCTGCTGCCAATCAAGTATGGGGACAGTTCAGAAACCTGAGCCAAGACACACTGGCATCAGTTACTCAGAGAAAGAGCTCCAGCAGAGGGACCACACACAGAACCAGGAAGAACGGCGCTCTGTCCCAGGATATTTATTTTTGTGTCGTACAGTAGAAGAAGGCAGGGTATAAATGGTATGAGTCACCAAGCTAACCCCCAAAAATTGCCAAGAAAAACACAAAATGTGGAAGCTACTTCTTTAGGTCTACGAATATAAGCATCGGTATTAAAATACTACTACGGCTAATAAGGCTCCCCGTGAGCTAAAGTAGTCTGCTCTACAACGATAAAGTGATGCCCTTGGCTTTACACAGTGAAAAAGAAAATACAATTTAAAGTTTATTCTGCCACATGAAGGAAAGACAGCAGAGAAAATAGGTTTATCATTGCGTACGTTTTTACTCATTTGTTTATCTGAAGGTAGGATTTATGGTGGCTTTCATAAAATTCATAAAATAGAGAAAATATAAATTAGAAGGAAATGAGGGCTAAAAATTTAAAAGGAAGAAATGTAAGACAAGTGGGAGGGGGACATGAGAATGTACCCCAAAATCAGGGCATTCGGGGGGGCCATCAGTTGAACATCCAACTCTGGATTTCGGCTCAGGTCTTGAGCTCAGGGACGTGAAATCGAGCCCGAAGCAGGGCTCTGCGCCCAATGCGGAGTCTGCTTAAGCTTCTCTCTCCTTCACTCTCTGCTCACCCCCACCCGCACATGCACTCTCTAAATTAATACCTACGTACATAAAATGTTTTAAAATATCAATAATATTAATAAACCTCCACCAAGACTGACACAGATTATAAGAGAAGGCACAGATTACCAGTCTCAGGAAAAAAAGGATATCACAACATGTCCTGTAGCCATTCGAAGAATAATCAGGAAATACTATAAACAACGTTACTCTTATAAATTCAACAACTTAGAAGGAATGGACCAATTCCTTGTAAACCAGAAACTACCCAAGCTTGAAAAAATAGGTTATCTGAATTAATTCTGTATTGTAAAAGTCCCAGAAAAAAATAAGAAATATATCGGCTCATTTTGTTTCACTGGAGAATTTTAGCAAACATTTTTTAAAAGAATTAATAATGATTTTATGTGCTTACCAGAAAACAAAAACAAAAACAAAAACAAAAAAACAAAACAAAACCAAAAAAAAGAAGAAGAAACTCTTACCAATTTATTTTATGAGGCCAATATTACCTTAATGTCAAACCCAGAAAATAACAGCATACACAAAAAAAAAAAAGAAGAAGAAGAAAAAAGAACCCAAAACAACCCACTACAGACCAACATATCTCATGAACATAGACATAAAAATCCTCAACAAAACTTCAACAGATTGAATCCAACAATGTATTTAAAAAAATGTACCACAACCAAGTGGAATTTATTTGGGGTATGCAAAGTGAGTTTAATATTCAAAAATCAATCACAGTGTAATCCATATCAACAGTACAAAGAAGAAAAACCTACGATCCTGTCAAGTGATGCACAAAAAAGCACTTAACAAAATTTGACACGCATTAACAATAAAAACGCTCAGTACCCCACAACTAGAGAGGAACTTTTCCAAGCCTCAGTCTACAAAAACCTAACATCATGCTTAATGGTAGAAGATTGAACTCTTTCCCTCTAACAACAAAGTGAGGTTGCTTGCTCTCACCAATCTTATCTGATATGGAACTGGACATTCCTACCACTGAAATAAAGCAAAAAAATAATGAAAGTTTTTAAAAATGCAGTTTAAAATACAGGAATACAGAAAAAATACAGTAAGAAAGAAAGCTGTCTCAATTTGCAGGTAGCATGATTGTCTACATAGAAAGCTCTATAAAGACTTTACAAACACACACACACACACACAGAATCTACAAAAATGCCCCTAAAACCACTAAGTGAATTCAGTATGGTCATAGGATACAAGAACGATACAGAAAAATCTACTGCATTTCTATATACTGATCCTTAACAGGTAGAAACCAAAATTTAAAATAGAGTACCATTTACAGTTGCTCCCTACAAAATTAAATACTTAGGTATAAATTTTAACAAACCCTACTGTAGAGAGCCTATATGATAAAAACTGTAAAATACTGATGAAAGACATCAAAGAAAATCTAGAAATCTACCAGGTTCATGGATTAGGAGACTCGGTGTAGTTAAGACATCAGTTCTCCCCAAACTGATCTAAGGTTACACATAATTCCTACCAAAACCTCAGCAAGTTCACTTGTAGACGTAAACAAGCCGATTCTAAAACTAATATGGGAAGGGGAAAAGCCTAAATTAGCCAAAAATTATTTTGAAAAACAGGAACAAAGTATGAAGCAATGGGTTCTTAAAACTGTCACCAAAACCATGACCCATCAGAGGAAAAATTGCTAGATGGGATTTCATCAAAATAAAAGGATGAAGAGACAAATTATAGACTGGGAGAATATGTTTTTAAATCACATATCTGACAAACTCCTTGTGTCTAGAATATAGAAAGAGCTCTCAAAACTCAACATTAAAAAAGTAATCTAATTAGGAAGTAGGCAAAGATGTACACAGACATTTCACCATCAAAGATATATGGATGGAAAATAAACACCTAAAAATATTCATCAGCATCATGAGCCATTACACAAATAAGAATGAGAACTGTAATGATAGAGTATTATATATCTATCAGAATGGCTAATGGGGCACCTGGGTGGCTCAGTCAGTTAAGTGTCTGACTCTTAATTTCAGCTCAGCTTATGATCTCGGGGTTGTGAGATCAAGCCCTGCACTGGGCTCCAAGTCGGGTGTGGAGTCTGCTTAAGATTCTCCCACTCCCTCTTCTTCTGCCCCTCCCCCCAACTTGCACTTTCTCCCCCTCACACACAAATAAATAAGTAAGTTTTTAAAAAATAGGATGACTGAAAAGGAAAATAGTGTTAATATTGGCAGGGCTGCAGAGAAACTGGATCTTTCTCAAATTGCCAGTAAGAATGTAAAATGGTACAACCACTCTGGAAAATATCTTGGAAGTTATTTCAAAAGTGAATTTACTGAATAACCCAGCAATTGCATTACTGGACATATGTCCCAGGAAAATGAAGACTTAATTTCACTCAGGAACTTGCTTTCGTCAAAACAGCCCCAAACTGAAACTACCCGTATCTCCTTCAAAGGCTAAAGGGGTTCCACAAACTGTGGTGTAGCCACACCATGGAATGGATTCAGCAATAACAAGGAAAGAACTACTGATACATGCAACAGCTTGAATGAACTCAAGGAAACGATTCTGCATGGAAAAGCCAGAGTCTCCAATTGGAGGTGAATGGTTCGGTTGATGTAACAACCATGAGACAACACGATGGAAATGGGGAACAGGGGAGTGGTTACCAGAGATTAGGGCTGGGGGTTAGAGGTGGGTATGACTGTAAGAGAATAACATCAGAGAATCTTGTGGTATTGATACTATTGAGTATCTTGATTATGGTAGTGGTTCCCTAAGGCTACACATGTGACAAAATTGCATATAGCTACACACACACGCACACACACACACACACACACGGGTACTTAGAAGAGTAATGGTTTGTACCAATGCCACTCTGTTTTGATATCGGGCTGTAGCTGTGTTAAGATGTGAACATGGAGGGGAGGACACAACCTAGGGGAAGGGTACATGAGACTTCCCTACGCATTTCTTTGTCGTCTCCCGTGAATCTACAATAATTTCAAGTTGAAAAGTTTTAAAAGTATATCACAGAGAGACCTATACAGATAGTACAGGGAAGTAATGTGTTTGACTCTAAACTCTTGAGAAACCAATCGAGAGGAGATGTTATGAATTACACAGGTCATAGGTCCAACAAAAACAAAACACAAACAACAACAAAAAAACATCAAAAACAGCAATCTCGATAACAGATATGGAAAGAACCTCCTGCTACAGCCTCAGGAAAGGACCCCTCTAAGGTGAGCTTGGCCCTCAAGCTACAGAGCAGAACCTGGAGGAGTGTACTTTCGCTCTGTATTTAGAGGTTCTTGAGTGGGACGTTTGTTCATACCACTGCAGGGTAAGGCTAACGGCCTCAACAAAGTCTTACAGTAGACGTGATCATCTTTACTAGCACATTCCATCACTAGAAGGTGCACTTTCTGATAGGACAGATCGTGTTTAAGGTCAGAAACCTTCAGAAAGGGAGGCACTTTCGTAGAGCTGACCAACAGCCTTGAAAACTCAAGCTTCCATGGGGATGGCCTTTCCCTATGCTTGTGCTGCCTCTGTAGAACTTCGTGTGGTGACTTTTTTTTCCTTGCCAATTCCCATTCCTCCCAAGCAGATGCTTTGTAAGGTGGTCATACCCCCAACTGGACAGGAGGCACTCTCACCACCCCACAGAGAGTAAAAGAAATAAGAGGGAGGCTAAGGGAGATGGTATCCTGCTTCACCAGGACCTGAGCACACTTAGGGATTTGGGCCAAAGTTCTAAAAAAGGTTCCTTTACCTCATTTTGCTTTCTATTTATATGCAACAGAATTGAGGTGTTGGGAAACTGAGTCCTTACCAAATACCAGCATTCCATCTCTACTCCAGTTTTATAGTAGTGGTACTCCCAGGGATTTGCTGATTTGCTCAAGTCTATACAGAAAAGGCAAAAAATCCAGGTCCAGGGACCTCTCTGAACACCATAGGACCCCATCTGCCAAACACATTTGTGACACTCAATTTTCTGCCAACCAGTAATGTAAGAGGCTGAGTTCGAAGCTACTCATTCAATACAGATGGACTGACCTGATTATTTGAGGTCTCAGAACAGCAAGCACATGGCTCCCCCCTCCAAAGGGCTCTTCTTTCTAACAGTGATTCCCATAGTCAAGGCTTGCTCATCAGTCCAAAAATGAACCCCCCTTCCCTGGAAATCTGTAAAGGGAAGTGTTTGGATTAAGACGACGATCTTGCCAACTTACGTGGAACTGGGCTGAGGTTGTTCAAATGCTTCTTTTGGAATTTTAAGGCCAGGGTTTCGCTTCCTGCCTATGGGGAGAGACACAAGGATAATGTCAAAATCACAGCGTAAGAGTGGGAACAGAGATACTGCAGCCGAAGCAAGGGGCTAGCCTGGGAATGTGCAGCTCTCATCTCCTCATGCGGAAAACCACGTCCCACCCAGGAGGTCTGTGAGTGCCGAGCACCCAAGCACCAGGCAGAGCACACCTTCCCCAAATGCAGACCATGCTCATGAATAAGGTTCTCGGTCACTTAAGGATGAAAATACCAGTATCAGAACGCTAACCCTCTTTACCCAGGAGAGCTGCCCTTTCCTCCCGGCTGAGAGGTGGTCATTCCAACTTCTCTGTTCTTTCTTGTACATAAGAACAGAACCAGTAGATGATGTCAGCTATAGATTTTTTTCCCTTTTTAATGTCAGTCTGATATCATCACCCTTATCTCAGTATCTTACAATTCTCTCATTTGATCTGTAAACAACTGGTAGATTTAACTATGGAGGGAGAATAAACAACGCCTTCCCACTCTTCTGCCCGGACCGTATCTGTCAATGACTTGCCATAAGCAGAAACACCTAAAAGAGGGAGAGAGTAATATTTATTTACACTTTACCCTGTTTCAAAAAGGAATACGGTAACAGATGGGCTCGTGCAAGGAGGTGATCGCTTCTTCAGGGACCAGGTGGGAATGTAAGCCATGTGCTCATCCCTGGACTGAAACTACAGAGAGTTTGGCTCAAATAATTTTGTTGATGGATACAAAAGAACGGGCTGATGGGGCACCTGGGTGGCTCAGGTGGTTAAGCATCCAACTCTTGATTTTGGCTCAAGATCGTGTGATCGGGCTCAGCGCTGGGCGAGGAATCTGCTTAAGCTTCTCTCTCTTCCTCTCCTCTTGTGCCTCCTCCTCTCTGAGGAACAGACTGAGACATGCCAGCTCAGAAATCTGAGTAGCCTCTTAAGGACCCAAGATATTCCTCACTTAAGGAGATCCTGGGTGTCTTCATGCTTGGCAGGGGAAACCAAAGCAGAGCTGGCTAAGAACACTGACGGTTCGAACTTTTCTCCCTCCCTTCTTCTCTGCATCACTGGGGGTGCATTACAGCACTGACGCCAGCCCTGGGCAAGGCCCGGGAGAGAGATTCTCAACACACAAAAAGACTTAAGACATCAAAGACATCTTCTCCTTGCGGGAAGATGACATCCAAAGATGTCAGTGATGGCTCGACATCACAGAGCTAGCAATGACTGGGTCGGAATCAGAATCCAGGTCTCTAACACCCAGTCTGGAGCTCATTCCCCTATTCTACAATGGAAGTAGTTCAAGGATGACCAGAGAGAATGCGGGAAGGGGAGCATGTGATGATGAGCTTTTAAAAACCCAGCTTACGTCCGGCACTTCACTCACCAAGTGACCTCCAGAGTCACTTTTCACCCGACCCTCGATATCCTCGACTATAAAAATGGGGAAATGATACTCATGCCTGCCTCACTGGGCTGGAGAGGAGAGCCATGAGCTATCACATATGGAAGAGCACAGACATGTCTTACGTAGCTGTTAATTATAATCACTTAGAGAACGAATCTGTAGTCTCATTTAAAAAAAAAAAAGTCACTTAAGAAATTCATGAGCATAACTGGTCAGATTATCTCAGTCCAAGGTAATATGTAATTGACTCTTTTTTTCTACCCCTTCAAAATCCAGAATCAAGATCAATTCTGCCAAGCTGTATAAAGCCACGGAAAAATATGCTTGGCAGTAGCCAACACAGAGAAAGCCTTTCAGGTCCATCTCCATTGTCACAGGACTTCTCAGAGGTCTCCTCCTTTGGGCTCATCTATGTATTTTGTAAGATTCAAAACTCACTATTCACTTTCCTCCTCCTGGAGTTCAGATGGTCACTCAGAATATGTTACTAAGTTAGTCAGTTACACGATACATACTGCCTTGTCCAGACATATGGTGGATATAGAGAGAGCTGTGCTGCCTTACCCACAACAATGCTAAGGGCTGGGTCTGATGGTGAAAATCCCAATAGACGTGTGGCCCAATTCCAACAATTCCTCTCAATGGGCTTCAATCAAAGAGCTGGAGGATGCTATTTTAAACACCCTCATGAGAGATGCATGACAAATTCCATTTGTCCAGATGACTACATCTCTGTTCCAACACAGGTGACCGGTAATTCCAGTAATCCCAGCAGACACAACCCTGTCATCCTCTCTGTTAAAACAAAATAAAGGTAAAATATATTTTGCCTCTGAAAAAGGCTCCCCCGTTGTCACGTAAGCAAACCAAAAGCAAAAGTTACTCTGAAATTCCTACGCCTCTCTCTTCTTCGTTTCTAACTCAGCTCTTACAAGAGAGATGGCCAGAGAGATAGCTATTTGTGGGGAAAACTGCCTTTGAAAAAGAGAGCAATGAATTATTCTACCCTAGCACCTGACGATTAGCAACTCACGATTATAACACCACAAATCATTAAAACATCTCTGCAAAGAAAGAGTATGAAAGAGAGAGAGAGAGAGAGAGAGAGAAGCCCTTGGCACAGAGGCTAAAGGAATAAATGACCAAGACAAAAACAAAGTCCCCAAGATGTGAGAGAGAGGCTCCTGCTTCTCTTCTGACACCAACAAGAAAAATACTTGTAGGAGACACACAAAACCCGGTTGAACGACATCATCAGAATCCACGCTGCCTTCATTTTCGACAGCGCATCAAATCAAAAATCACAGACACACAGGCACCAAAATTCCATCATTCACTTACTTTCCCATCCCTGAAAGAGGAACCCAGTGAGAGGCCGGGAGTGACTCTGATGAGGTTTTCAAGGCGTCAGGCAGGGCTCACAGAACACCACCACACACCAGGCTTTCTTCCCTCAGCTCTGAAGACCACACTTCAGCAGAGAGAGGCAGCTTTGAAGAGACTCCGCCCTCCCAAGCATGGACTGCTGCAAACCTCTCGAGTTTATTGTTCCCAACAAACCGCAACTTCACAAAGAAAGAAGAGTGGGTCCGTTTGGACACCGAGGTGTGACATTCATCGTGAACCAGACTTGGAAGAAAATACATCTCTAAAGCAATTCTGGACAGTCCTGCCTTTTCCAGCCTTTCTATAAATGCCTCTTTCATTTCTAAAGAGAAAGTACAACAATACGTGGTCAGTTTCCAGCTGTGTTGATTTCGAAGCAATCTGTTCCCCCAACAAGGCTGCCAACATTTAACACCACGTTAAAAACAAAAACAAGGGGCACCTGGGTGGCTCAGTGGGTTAAACCTGTGCCTTTGGCTCAGGTCATGATCTCAGGGTCCTGGGATAGAGCCCCACATCGGGCTCTCTGCTCAGCAGGGAGCCTGCCCCCCCAACCCCTCCACCCCACCTACTGCTCTGCCTACTTGTGATCTCTCTCTCTCTGTAAAAACAAACAAACAAAAGTATCAGGGGAAGCGATGTAAATAATACAGCACCGTGCTCAAGTATGTGAATGGCCCTTTCCCCTGATAGTCTAAAGCAAATACAAAAAATGAATCAGAAAGCAGGCTCCGGGCTGGGTCCCTTGCTAGCAACAACCTTCTCGGAAGGACAGAACACCCGTGTCCTCCTACAGACCTCAACAAGCATGGCCCCCAGTTGGTGCCATCCGCACAGGGCAAGCCTCGTTGGCTTGAGCGAGCCCTTGCAGAGCTACATGACATCAGCCCCGTGCCACACCCTGGCTTGTTTTCTCTGAAAACGGAGCCTCACCACGCACATATATTTGCAAACTTCATCTTAAAACCAAAGCTGGGTCATGATAATCCTGGCCAGGAGCAAAAATGGCACCGGAAAACAAAAACCTTGCCAAGAGTTAATCAACATTTCCCAGGCCGCAGAAATGTTTGCTAGCTTCAACCATACTGAAAATGATGGGGTCCTCGAGACCTCTTGCTCAGTACCCACGCGGACAGCCTGGGCACAAAGAGCTTCTCTCATGTGTCTTATTACATAAAACAGAAGATGGTGCTCCGGAGCCAACCCAAACAGCAAGAGGATCCCCCAGGGTCCACAGAAGGTGGCATCGTGAGGATAGGCGGATGCCTACCTATTGGTCAGCTTGGCCCAGAGGTGGGGGGAGGGGGGCATGATGATGAGGGTTTATGAATATTGCCACAGCTTTACAAAGGCTGGCATGGCTTCCGGTGCCAAATTTATTTTCAAAATCTCTTTCCCAATGTAAACGGGATTTCCAGCCAAGTCCCTGGCAACCTGGAGGCCTTGGCTGCCCTCTCCTTCATACTCGCATCTAGGCTCAAGTCCCAGGGGCGGCCGGCACTGCAATGGGCAGGGGAGTGTTATTAAATGTTATTAAATTGTGATGATCAGATGCAAAGCAACGAACAGGGAGGGGCCGGGGGGAGGGAGTGCAGGAAGGAAGCCGGTTTGGCCACGCAAGGACTCAGATGCTCCTGTTCCCTCCAACCACTGGATCTCACCCACCACTGAGACTCCAGCCAGCATGCCAACGTTCTGCACAATCACATAAAATTTGGAGAAAGAAAGCTGACAAGCTCAGGTTAAAACGTGCAGTCATTTGGATTTCAAAGAGGGAGAGGTATTTCCTAGGACCTTGCCTTTTAAGTTTTGTGTTGCCTCTGCTTAGAAAGCTCTAGCCCTCTTGCAGACAGGAGCCCAGACTTCCATACCCAGCTCTTCTATCCCACGCCCCGCAGAACCCTCCCAGACCTTCCTGAACATTCCTTGTAGGTCACAGTCCACACCTCCAGCTTTCACATTTCAGCATCTCACACAGAATGTGAACTCAGTGCACTTTACGGAACCTCTGACATTTTAGTTTAAAATATCCACTCCGTCTCTGTTGATGGGGAGGCTTTCGCCTCTGGAAAGACAGTATGAATGTTCCTCAAGAACCTAAAAATAGAACTAGCCTACAATCCAGTAATTGCACTATTGGGTATTTACCTAAAGACTACAGAAACATCAATCTGAAAGGATATACGCACCCCTATGTTTATCACAGCCTTATTTACAATAGCCAAGTTATGGAAGCAGCCCGATTGTCCATGAATGGATCAATGGATAAAGAAGATGTGGCGTATATACACCAATGGATAAAGAAGACGTGGTGTATATACCCACATAATGGAATACAATTCACCCATATGAAAGAATGAAATCTTGCCATTTGTAACCACGTGGCTGGCGCTAGAGAGTATAATGCGAAGTGAAATAAGTCACAGATTTCCCTCATTTGTGGAATTTAAGAAAAAAAATAAAGAAAGGGGGAAAAGAGAGAGAGGTACAAACCAAGAAACGGGCCCTTCACTAAAAGAACAAACTGACGGTTACCACAAGGAAGGTGGGAGAAATCGGTGGTGGGGATGAAGGAGGGCACTCGTGATGAGTACTGGGTAATGTATAAAATTATCGAAACACGGCATTGTACACTTGAAACAACGTTAACACTGTATATCAGCTATACTGGAACTAAAATTCTAGAATTTAATAAATTTTAAAAAAACTAACCACTTAAAGCATTTTTTAAAATGTCCAATCTGTCTCAAATGGATCTCCACGACTATCCTCCATGTACATTCCTCATACCATGTCTCGTAATCCCACATTCCTTTACGGTTGCCTTTCTGTGGTTATTTCTGCACTGATGACTTGTTTAGCACCTATCTTCCCAATACACGTTCCATCACGGCATCGATTCTGCTCAGTGCCTGCACATCCTAAATGGTTGCTGACCGAATATTTGTTCTTCTCCCAACTGTTTTGAACATTAGTATTGAGCCCTTCAAGAAAGAAAGAAAGAAAGAAAGAAAGAAAGAAAGAAAGAAAGAAAGAAAG